CATATCTAACACGTTGAAGCGCGCGATTAGTACTTTGGTATAAGTGATAACGAATTTTAAGTTTATAGATTCGTTAAAACGAGAGTTTGACCGTATCACCTTGCGTTCTTCTTTTGTATCATAAAAGATTTCCAAAAACGTTGATTCCATTAACACCGAAATTACACACAACATTGTTATAAAAATACAAACAACGCACCTCTTTAATTACACAAGAAAGTAATTTTTAATGAGATATATGAAAGATATTCTAATTTTGTTAAGGGCGTGTTCAAATAAGAATGGGGATGTCCAGGGTTTAATATACATTTTACCAAATTTGGGTTTAATACGAGAATATTTCTAACTCATTAATTATAATGTAAAAAACAAGTGTTGAAAAATTTTATTTTAATTAATAAAATGATGTAAAGAAAATGAATTAGTTTATAATATTTTCCTGGTGAAAAATGATTTAATCATTTTACTCGCAATTTTCGCTTTCATTCTTTTTTCTTTTGCAAATAAAGTGGCTTTCGATTGATACAATGTATTGACCAAAATTAAAATCTAAAAAAAGCAAACAAACATTGGATATATATGTATATGACTAGGAAAAAAAAGGAAGATACCTTTTTTTCAGGTGTTTGCAATAATCATTTTTCTAATACAATTAGATAATAATTTCGAAGAAACCAAAATATTGTTTGTTAAACTCTATATAACTAAAGAGAAAAGTATATATAATAATTTTGATCTATATCAAGTTTTACTAATTGACAGAGAAGGTCTTGTAGGAGAGCAACATGGACGGAAGTTGGAGCACCTTCTACAAGTCTGTTAATCCAACAAAATTTCACGATAGATAACAATTTAAACATATGCAGCCTCGAATGATTTTTATGAGAGAGGAGGCGGGTTTAAATGATTTGTGCGACGTTATTCAATACAATACCAAATTTTTTTTTTAAAAAACCATTTATTATTTATTATCAATGTCAAGCAATAATTTTTCATTTTTTGAAAATATTGACATATTTAATGATCTTATTAAATGTGATAATGTTGCATTACCATTAAAGTATATTAGTAAACTCATGAATGATTTTACAAAATTGTTAAGCAGGTCTGAATTTTATGATGTTGAAATTAAAGTTGGAAGTGATGACAATGTTAAAACCTTTAAAGCTCATTCAACAATTTTAAAAGCAAGGTCTTCATATTTTAAAGCTGCCTTATCAAGTAATTGGATTAAAAAACCTGATGATAATGATGGTATTATTTTATTTGAAAAAGAAAACATTTCTCCAAAAGTATTTGAGGTTCTTTTAATGTAAGAATTATTTATTTATTAATTTATTGATTAATTAATAATGAATGATTAAAATAGAATTTTTAATTTTTTTGTATAATTTTAAAAAGGTATATTTACAATGGGATTATGAATATAGATAATTTGAATCCAAATGAGACTCTTGAACTTCTTGAAGCATGTGATGAGTTAGGTTTTGATGAACTAATTAAAGATTTAGAAAGTTACTTAATTATTGAAAAAGAAAAATGGATTCAACAGGATTTAATTTATTTTCATAAAATTTCATTAAATCACCAATCATTTGACTTACTTCAAAATTGTTGTGGAGAATTAATTGATGAAAATCCAGCATTATTTTTAAAATCTGACGATTTTAAAGATATTGCAAAGCCCATACTAGTGTTTATATTAAAAAAAGAAAATTTAGTAGTAAAAGAAATTGAGATTTGGAATTATATTATACAATGGGGAATAAGTCAAAATGAAGAATTGGAAAAAAATATATCAGATTGGAATAAAGGTGATTTTATTAAATTGAAGAATATATTAGAAGATATTATTCCATTGATAAGGTTCAATCAAATTTCTTCAACAGATTTTCATGGTAAAATTAAACCTTATAGAAAAGCTTTTAATAAAGATATATATGAAGAAATACTTGAATATTACCTTAGCAATAACTGGCAGCCAAGATTATTACTTCAAAATGGTCCAAGAACAAAAATAACAGGGGGAAAATTATTAAATTTTAAAAAAAAAAGTTTAATTTCCAGCTGGATTGATGAAAAATTTAATCAGAATTTACTTTATTATTATGAATTTAAATTAATTCTTTGTGGATCACAAGATGGGTTTTCTAGGTCAGTCTTTGAGGAAAAATGTTTTAATATTGGACAAACTGTGATTATAATGAAGATTCAAGAAACAGGAGAATTAGTTGGTGGCTATAATCCTGTTGGCTGGAATATAAAAGAAAAGTCACCAGATGAAGATTATTATATTGAAACAAATAAAAGTTTTATTTTTAAGATTTGTGAAAATCAAATAAATAATTCAATTTTAAGTAGAGTCAAACAACCTAAAAGAGCAATATGTCATTCTAAACCATATGATAAAATAGATATCACTATTAGTTTTCATAATTTATTTCTATGTAATTTTAATAATGTACCCTATTGTGGTTATGGTTTTGGTGACGAGTTTGGAGATTCTTATGAAAATAGTTTGGATCTTGAAGATGGTGGTAGACTAGAAGAACTTGAGGTGTATAGAATTAATTATATTTAAATTGAATATACATATGTGGCTAAGAGTAAATAAAAGTTTGATGATATTTTAATTGAAAAAGAAAGTATTTATCCAAGAGTGTTTTTATTAACACACAATTAATGATGATGGTACCTTACAGTTTAGCATTGCGGCTTGACTTGATGAACGAAAACATCCCGGTAAAATTCGAGTGAATTTTATTAGCAAGTACAACTAAGCGAATGACCTTGAAATGGACTTTTATTTTATTATAAATTTTCATTTGAAAAATGGTAATTTGTAACTAAATTTTTGGAAAATAACAAGTATGCTTTATTAGTTTATATAATTTTAAAGTGTCTATATATATATGATGGGTTCTATTTTCTTTACAACTTGCTTTTCAACTTCTTTGAACAATTTTAGGTAGCAAAGAGGAAGGAATTTTAATTGGAAATTATCTTATATACTAATACATAATTATACGAAAGTTCCGTGTATCAAAAATACAATATCCTCAACCTTTACTTTAGCCAAATTTTAATTTGAGAATGCTTTGTTCATAATATTCATAGTCGTCATTTTAATTAAAAGTGATTTCGAATTGTTTTGTTTTCAAAACTTGACGGAAACCTTTGTCGTTAAATAATTTAATAATCAACAATTTTCTTTTTGTATTGTACAACAAGTTTTAGTTTACTAATTGACATAGCCTACGAGCAGATCTAGGTTATATAGCATATTCTACGAGTTTCTTTATTTCTTCGGTTGAAATTAATTACATTCCCGAGAATTAATTAATTCAACAGTATTATAATAATAATAATAATAATAAATAATAATAATAAATAATATGTAGCATGCAGATGTGGATAGATAATGTAAGTGATTAAATTTATGCTTATATATTTACACATTAATATAGACCTGGATTGACATTAACATTAATATTATTTGCGAGGAAAAAGCAGATGATGTTTTTCATTTTAATATTTGTTGAATTGATATTTTAATCACAATATAATTATTTCCTATTTTGTAGCAATGCGAATGTAAATAAAATAACAAGAAGATCAATAAATTAATTTCTTGTCAGTTTCCAAAGTAATTAAAGCATCTTCGAGAGAAGTAAATGGTAAATCATAATTATTTGATATCAGATATATTTAATTTTAACATGTAGATGGAATATAATTGACATAAAATTAATAATAATAATAAAAATAATAATAATAATAATAATAATAATAAATAATAATAAACACGCATAAATTCTAGGTATGGCAAATTTTAATTTGTGATTTTATTATTTTATTGTTTGTTTGTTTTTTCTTCTTTCTGTTTAAATTAAACACATGCTTTTTCACTCCACTTACAGAATTGGAATTAGAAATTTATTCTTTTGTATATATTTCTTATTCAAAATATATTAGTTTGGAAAATCAAAATAATATTCTTTAAACTGTTTCCATTACCATATTCATATAATACTTCAATAAAAGAATGTTTTGTTGATATTTTATTTTATTTGTTTTTGTTTTTCTAAATTTATTTTTATATAAAAAATTTCTCTTTGTTGATCGTACAAATGAAATTAATTGAATGAGGCAGCCCGTCTTAACTGATTATATATTATTAACCAACACATCATTTACTACGTCAAACAAAAAAAAATTTAATCATTACATTACATCTAATGTACAATTTGCATATTAGACATCATTATTATTCCTTTTTTTTTTTTTTTCGTCTCGTTTCGCTTCGTCTCCTCTCTTCTTTAACTATTTTTTCCTATCCTCCGCTCATTATTTTTATCATATATTCCATCAACACCTACCCTATTACAACATTCATTAATTGATTAATTTTATTATTAAATTAATCCATTCACTCGTTTATTTAAAAAATAAAAATTTTGAGCTGTTGTTATGAAAAAGTAAAAAAGGCAGAGAAAAAAGAAAAAAAAAACTACAGATATACATTAAAGTAATTATTAATTGTCCATTATTAATTATATGTTGGATATTAAATAAATATAGCATTGTTTCCTAAAAAGAAAATGAATGAATAATGAATGCTGACAATGAACACTATGAATGCGTATAACACTCAATCATCCCTACATTCATTCATCATTTAAAAAATATGGAAAATTTAAATTTACTAATTGATTTCCTTATTTTTTTAATTTTTCCTATTAGAACCCGTATTATTTATCAACATAGTAACCATAACCAAGTTCACTCTTTCCTCCTACACACTCGTTTTCACACTCGCACACTCACACTCACACTCCATAAGCGGCCATTTATCCTTATTAATAGACCCACATACTACCAACATAAACACACATATTTATATTTATATACCAACCAATTCTTTAATAAAAAATATTTGATGAACGCAAAATAACAATTATTCATTTAATTTTACTAATTTACTATATTTTTATCTTAATATGATTATTGGGAATGTTGATAATTTTAAACAAAGTAATTTAACAAAAGGTAATGTGTCAAAAATTAGAAAGTTTTTTTTTTTAATGATTCTTTAAGAAAAGTTTTATTAAAAATTTGTGTGAAAAAAACTTTAGAAAAAAAAAGTGACAATAATATGATAATAAAGCGTAAAGAATACGAAGAGTCAAGAATAAAAGTTAGAGCAGTCACATCAAAGAATAGTGATAGTAACAAGGAAACAAATCCTTTGAAATCCGATAATCCAAAACCAACAAGTGACCCTCCTCCATCTTCTAACGATCTTCCCACCATATCAAAAACAATCAAATCAGATACACCTGTAACAACTGATGATAGACAATCTCCTGCCACACCAACAACCGATGGTACACAATTTCCAACCATATCAATTACTGATACTTTTACGAGTGTTACTGCTACTAGAATTGTATCAGAAACAACATCATCAGATGATAATACGAATGCCATTAACACAGTCAATACCCCTATAGAAACTGATGCCACATTACTTCCAACCTTATCGATACCTGAGAACACCGTGGGTAATACTGTTACTAAAATTGTTGATCCAACACCAACGGCTCCACAAAATGTTCAGACTCTGAGTCAAGTTCAACCTATAACTACACAACCTCCTTTACCTCCTCCAATAGATTCAACACAGCCAATAATAGCGCCAACTGATCCATCACAATCACCGCCAACTGATCCATCACAATCACCATCGCCACCATCGCCATCATCGCCACCATCGTCACCATCGCCACCATCGCCACCATCAGCATCACAGTCAATTATCAATTCAACTGATAATGATAATAGAGTTATAAATACCATACCAACAGCTCAGACAACACCAACACAACCAAGTGATCCCAATGCATCACCACCACCATCACAACAACCAAGTGATCCCAATGCACCATCACCATCACAACAACCAAATGATCCAAATTCGCCACGACCACGACCACAACCAAATAGTCTACCAACAACAATAGTTTCTACAAATAATAATAATAATCGAAATTCTAGCGGTAGTAATTATTCAAAAACAGTTGATAGCAATCCATCATTATCACCATCAGATAGAGACAATACTCCAACAACTTTATCTGATACTTCTCACTTGTCAAAGATCACGGTGGCAACTATCATCGCGATAGTGGTTATAACGGCAGGATTTAGTATTGGTGTATTATTTTTTTTCAAAAAATTCAAAAAAAATAACAGTCAAAATAATCTAAATAATCGTGATAATAGTGATAATAGTGGTAGGGTAAGATGGTTTCCAACAATACTATCAAGTTTAACCGGAGGTAATGGTAGGCGACTACGAAGAAATAATAAAAACAACAAAGTAAAAGAGGAAGATATATGGATATCTAGTTATAAAAATACTCTTGATAATAGCGAAAACCCCATCGCTATACCGAGACCAACTTTAAAATCGAGGGTTTTAAGTACAAGCAAAATAATAAGAAACAACAGTAGTAATAATATTAAGAAAAAAAAAACAAGTAAAATAATTGATGCAGATGTGTTATTTGAACAAAACAGTATAAATGTTTTTGATGGATTTGATGGTAATTATGTTGATATTAACGGTGGTGGGGTTGGTGGCGGAAATTTATTAATTGGTTGTACTTGTGGTTCGTGTCTTACATGTCTTGGACTCGATGGTGGAAGTAGTAGTGGAAGTGGAAGTGGCAGTGCCGGTAAAAGGCATAGTAATAATAATAGCAATCATAGTGGCGGCTTATTTAATTGCAATAGCAGTAACCATAGTAGAAATAGTACTCAAAGACCTGTTAACGGAAGTATAAATAATAATATTAAATCTCCATTGGCAAATAAACTATACAATAGCAGTAATCTTGCTAGTAATAATAGTATTATTAGTGATATAAACTCACTGGATTTAATTTATTATGGTGTCAGAAATAGCATTTTTGATTCTGATAATAGTGGCGGTGAGATAATTCACTATTTCAATTCTGGTGAAGGCAGCTATTCAGATACTAGTAGTGTATACCTACCTGCCGAAAGAAACAATGTGGATTGGAATGATTGTCTGGAGTAATCAAGCAAAACAGTTTTGAATTGAATTGTGAGATTAATTGATGGACAGGGAAAAGCCGAAAACCGTGAATCGTGATGACGATAGAGAGGCTGGTTCGAAAGACAGAGAACTGTGATGGGGGATAGATGGATCGAGAGATAGGGAACTGTAATTGACGGATGGACGGGTTGGGAATTTTAGAAATTATAAAAATTTGTAAATTAATTGAAATTTTATCAACAGAAAAAAATTAAAAAATATATATAATATTTATACACCCACTTACACTCGCATTTACACCCACATATATATAAACACAATAATTTCCATAATAATATTTATTATTATTAATAATATAGTATACAATAGACAAGTAACGAAATTTTGTAGAATAATTTTTTTTTGTAAATTTTTTTATAATAAAAATTGATTAATAAATAAATTAATTAATAACAGGTAATAAATTATTATAAATTAATAAATTTTAAAAAAAATGCAGTAACAATAAAAGGACAAGTTTATTATTATGTAATAAAATTTTAAGACCTAAACTGTAAAAAAATTTATTTAGCAATAATTACTAAATATTAATTTAAGTCAAAATTGTATAATATTTTCTGGCTCAATGGTCTAGTCGTAAGATTCTCCGTTCGGGTCGGAGAGACCCGGGTTCAATTCCCGGTTGAGCCCAAGAATTTCTTTCATTATTTTAATAATTTTTAAGAATAAATAATTATATATATTATTTGTAGATTTCCATGACATGGTATTAAAGGTTTTTTTTTTAGAAAATCAGTTATTAGTACTAGTGTTATACAAAATTAATTACCATTACATTATTTGGTGTTCTCGCAAAAAATTTTATGAAAATGAAAAATTTTTGTGTATCAATCTGTTATTAGTATTGGGTTTTGCCAATAATGATCATTATTATTAATTAATGTGTGCATATATCAAATTTTTTATTTCCATATTTATTTATCTTTTTAATATTCAGCTTTAATTTTCTAATTTATCAAGTAATTATATATATAGTTAGTTAGGAAACGTATAAAAATTACATCATAACGCAATTGTTCATCTTTGTAAAGCTGTAAATACATTTTTTGCCACTTTGAATTGTTCCTCATCAACTTCTTCTGTTTTATTGTTGTTATAATGGCAGTCCAAATTCGTAACTCTAATGAGATACAAATGTTAATATTAATATTATTCGTTACTAAATTAGATATTTACCCCATTATCTTGACAAAATGGGAATATCGTCATACAAAAGTTAATATTTAAAGACAACAATTATAATCTTAGTAACCTATTTAATTTTTCAACAATGTTAAACAACAATCTCCTTAACGCTGCACTTAATACTTTAGTAGGTGGCCAAAATATTGTTTCGGAAAATGAGTACAATATAAAACAAGCCCAAGATCATTACGTCAGTAGGCAACATGTTGAATTGTCCTCATTTCATCAAGCGAGCCTTGTAGGTGGTAAAGTAGACTCAGCCTCGGTTCAGAAATTATATTCAGCCTCAGCACAAAAATTAGATTCAGCCTCGGTCAGTAAATTAGATCCAACACTCAAAGATATTATTTTTGTAAAAACTTTGACTGGTAAAACTATTGAGCTACCTTTCAATAGCCTTTTGACCATTTATGGACTAAAACGGAAAATTCAAGATAAAGAAGGCATTCCACCCGACCAACAACGTTTAATTTTTACTGGAAGGCTGTTGGAGAATGGTAGAACGATTTCTGAATGTAATATCAAACGCGAAAGTACGTTACATCTTATTTTACGCTTGATGCTCCAAGATGTTATTTATGTAAAAACTTTGACTGGTAAAACTATTGTGCTATGTTTCAGTAGCCTTTCGACCATTGATAAAATAAAACAGAGAATTCAAGATAAAGAAGGCATTCCACCGGACCAACAACGTTTAATTTTTGCTGGAAAGATGTTGGAGGATGGTAGAACGCTTATTGACTATAATATTAAACGCGAAAGTACGTTATATCTTATTTTACGTCTTCCTGGTAGCGGAGAAGTAATCAGTTGTTTGAGCTCCGATTTTTTGCATCCAGAATATGATTATGATTTTACAAATATTAATGACAATGGAATTAAACATAAACGTGGCGGTGTTTCTTATCAACGTCCGTGCGGATGGAAACGTTATGCTTTAAAGGTTACCGGAAAGTACGATAACGGTGATGACAAATGGCTTGGTACTGGCGAGGATTCTTGGCCGGTAACATATCATGGCACTGCTAATCATAATGCGAATTCAATTGCTGCTGATGGATACTTATTGAGCAAAGGGAAACGGTTTGCTTTTGGCCATGGTATTTATTCCACGCCAGATGTGGCTGTGGCTGAATTGTATGCACCGGAGTTTGTATTTGAGGGAGAGAAATACATTATGATAATTCAAAATCGAGTAAATCCTAAGAATTTGGAAAAGATTGGGACAAGCACAACTGGTGTCGGTGATTATTGGATCTCAAAGAGTGGCGAAGATGTCAGGCCGTATGGAATTTGTATCAAAAAAAAGAATTGATTAAAAATCAAAATAATTGATATTAAATGTACATGTAATATATTGTATTTGTTGATTTAAATAAATTTTATTTTGAACTAGTGCATGTTATAAATTTTTTATTCCCCAATTTTTTTTGGATTTTCTTTTTTTTAGAAATTTTCTTATTGATATTACTTTTATCAAAAAAATTTTTTTGATTAATCAATTTTTTACACAAGCAATACTGGAATTTACAATCAAAAATTATGTTTATTGGTTCGTATGTATGACTAATTCTTTCTCAGCTGATTCTTTTTAATGTTCTCTACTAAAACATGTTATCCAATTTTCTAGTTTTTATTCTTGGTAACTCATTTGCATCCGACTCTCCTGTTTCTACTCTTTGTTTAATTCTGCAAACATTGTTTCAGTAGTTAATCTGTTCTTCCTATCTACATTTCCTGACGAAAATAGGCTCTTATAAGTTGTTTTGCCTGCTCAGGTATGGGTTTGCTTTCACCACGCTTTCCAAAATTTTGGTTTTCACAAAAATCCAAAGTAATTCATTCTAGAAAATTTAAAATTCGTCAATTTAACATCCGAAAGATATTTATATTAATTCTCTATATAACGGACTATTTGGTTTAGGAAAAAGTATCTGTTATAAACAATAATAATATAAATCTCGCTTAAATTCTAGAATTAAAAGTTCACAATAGATGTTCCTTGAAGACCTTTTGCTTGCATTTACTATTTCATATCCAATGCATATATTGTGCGTGAAAATCAAATTTGTAGAATTGCAAATATAGAGAAAATGAAAAATGTAAAAGTGTGATATAAATGAAGTGTAAGTTTTTAATTTCCAAGTTTTCATGATTTATTAGCTTTATCATTACCATTATCATCTTTATCATTATCCTTTGGTATCCAAATTTGATTTCTAATTTATTCAAGTAATTATATAGTTATATCGCAAAAAGAACACCATATACATTAGAACGCAGTTGTAAGATAGCCAATGCATTTTGGTTCTTTTTTTGGATAAACAAAACAAGAAATGCCAATTTGAATTGTTCCAATTGTCATTCTTTCTAAACAAGGACAATTCCTCATTATATGCATCTTCTGCTTTACTTTCCTCGCCACCTTCTTCTGTTTTGGATTTTTTTATTGTTGTTATAATTGTCGTCGATGATAATGACGGTGTAGATAATGATTTTATCAAATATATTTTCTGCAGTTCAAAAATTCGTAACCCTGTATGTTAATATTACTCGTTACAGTGTATAAATTCCAGTGTGTAGATTTCTACAAATCTAGAAACTATCTGCAGAAAACTACTAATGTACCCTGCACATTCCGCACATTGAATTTTATACACTGCTCGTTACTAAATTGAGGAACAATAAAAATTTAAAATTGATAGTGTTACCGGAATTAGAAACTAATGCTGATTATGATTCCGCATTAATCTATTTTTATTAATATTAATATTAATATGTAGTAAAACAAGTTTTAAAATACTAAGCGATAAATGAGCTGGGTGCTGTAGATCATATATACATGATGATAAATAAAAAACAATTTTATATTTTTACAATTGAAACATATATTTAGAGAATTTTAAATCCAATTTAATTTGTTCAATCCTTCATTATTAATTTTTTTAGTCTTTTGTATTCCTCTATAGCATATTTTGAATATTTAACTTGAGAAAAATCAAATTTTAAGATTCGAAGTTTATCTAAAGAATTTACCCTGCTCAGAGCAACATATACTTGTCCTTCTGCAAATATGTTTTCATCCACAGATATGGTTATGTGAGGTAAGGTTAGGCTTTGTGTTTTATGAACAGTAAGGGCAAAGGCATTTTGGAGTGGAAATTGTTTTCTTTAAGCTCTCTTTCCATCAATTTCAAAGTAATATGTTTCTTTTTGAACTACTACTTTTTTTATGCTGTTAAGTGTAGGAAAGGTTACTTCTACATTTTCTTCATCAATTATTTTTGTTACAATTCCTATGGTGCCATTACAAATATTTTGTTCAAATAATTTATTATTGAGAAACATAGTTTGGACACCTTCTTGTAGACATATTTCTCTTGGTAGGTTTGTAGCTTTTTTAAATTGATTTTCATAATGATGTTCTTTATGTAAGAATTCAAAATTCAGTGTGTCTTCAGAATTTGAAATGATTGGGTCATTACAAGTTTCGTCAAATGGAAGAGATTCACACATTAATATATTAATATCATCTGCAGCTTGATGAGTACCAACTACATGTGTGGTGTTAAAAAATTTATTGATACTATTTTCAGTATCAATTTTACATATTTATAATAAATGCAACCAAACTTATTAATGCTATGAATTTACAGTATTAAATAATTTTGAATAAAAAAAAATTTACAAGATTATTTATAGTGTGCTCTAGATGTGAACCATCAGCAAAGCTGACTGGTTACACCTAGTGTGATATTAAATATAAAGTAATTAGT